TTTCAACACATTAGAAATTAATAAACTCTTTTTAATACCACATATACTAAAACAACTAAATTATACAAAAGTTAACTCAACTAACTAATATTGGCAGCCTAACCTCTTTTCATTAAAATGACCATATCTCAATATATTCAAATCAGAATTAAGATCTCTTTAATGCATTAGAAACTAGACTTGATAAGATTTCTAACCATATATGGCTCACTTCATAATTCCTTGTAAAGTAATTATAATAAATTTTGCAATCCATGTCATATGCTGATGCTAGACAACATATATACCTTCTAATAAAAATTACATATTTATTCGTAGGAGACTTCAAATTCAATTCCGTTTATTTCGTTAGAAAGTAGCCTTAATAACCTTCAAACATATATGGTTCAATTCTTAATTCCTTGTATAAAATTTAAGATAATTTTTAAAATTTAACCCTAATAATGCTGCCATACAGCCTATATATCTTTAATTAAAAATTAGATAACTCTTTATAAAAAACTTAAATTCGACTACCATTTATTTCATTAGAAAGTAGATTTAACATGCTTTCTAACGATATATGATAATCATAGTAATATCTAATTCCTTGATATAGAATATTATTTTAATCTACTATTATAGATAATAATATCTTATTCAAGAACAGAAATTTTCTTTTAACATTTAAAAATCCAAATTCGCACTTTAATCCTTTAAAATTCACTTAATAATCATCATCAAATCATAATAACATGAAGTAAATAAAACTCAATAATTTACCTAAATTGATCATGAAGATTAATGAAGGATTTCATAATTTTTTTTTATTTTTCTTTCAGAAATTTAACTCTAAATAATAGCAATCAACATGATATTTTTTTTAAATAAAAAGATGGCATACAATCATTTTTATAAGATTAACTCGATTGTAGCCTCTGATTCTGAATCTCCAACTTGATTTTTTATGCTCTTTATGTTAGAAAAATGGGATCCAGCCCTATATAATTGGTTTTAGACCAATCAAAGGCCATGGGCCTTGGTCTTTCTTTTTACATAGAGCCCTAGCTACTTAATAAAAAGAAGTGGTGCTGTTTTAAAGTAGTGTCACAAACCAAGAAGAGAAAAAAAAGTCAAAAAAAAAAAGAAAAAAAAAGAGAGTTGGTTGAACAGAAGTTGATTCATGGTCCGATTGAGCTGAAACTTTGTCAGCGGATTTATGATTCAGAGTTCTACATTCTAATGGTGAAGATTGGGTTTGAAACTCTCTATAAACAAATCAACGGTTTATTTATTGAGTCACCTATTTGATGAAATTTCTCCAATTGTCTTTCTAATTATTGATTAACTCCAGTTTTTGCTAAAGAAAAACTTTGTACATCCATTATTTGAGAGTAAAAATTTTTTTGGTGGTTCATGGTTTTTCCTTTTATATTGTAGGATTTTCACATAAATCTTGATATGCTTTATTTTTCCTATGTTATTGATTATTGATTGTTGTCTATTACTGTAGGTTTATTGCATTATATTACTTTGGCGTTATTATGTTTATTACTTCAGGCCCAATAAGTGGTATCAGAATGAGGGTTATTTTTGAGACAATAATATAGAAGTAGCTTATGATAGAAGTAAATTCTGTTTGAGATCATAGAGGGTGATATAGATTTCATGATAAAATTGACAACATCAAATTATTCAATTTGAAAGCCTATGATAGAAGATCATTTATACTATAAAAATTTGTATAAGTTGATATTAGGTGATTCAGTTAAACAAGTAGATATGAAAGACGAAAACTAAAAAAAGTTAGGCAGAAAGTATTGGTTACAACAAAAAAATAGGTTGATATTAGTGTGTTTCATCATGTAACGTAAGAGGTAGATGCCCACATTGTTTCAAAAAAATTTATAAATTTGTATGAGAGAAAAACAAGTATGAATAAAGTTATGCTTGTTAAAAAGTTTACAACTTTACAGTATAAAGATGAACGATCAATTACAAAGCACTTGAATGATTTTTAAGACATATTTAATTGAATGACTATTATGGAGCTTAAGATGGATGATGAAATGAATGTATTATTTCTTTTGGGTTCATTGTCAGACATTTGAAATACTCTAATTATAACTGTTCTTAATTCAGCTCTTGATTACAAGGTAACATTGAAAATAGTAAAGAATAGTATGCTTAATGAAGAAGCAAGGTAAAAATATGTAAACCTTGGGAATCAAGCTCTGGTAACAAAGAACAGAAGTAAAAACATCGATAGAGGTCAGAACTCAAAAGGCTATAGTAAGTCTAAACATAAATCTAAGTCTAGAGATAAAGTAAAGTATTTTCATTATGGTAAAGCAGGTCATATAAAATGATACTGTAAAATCTTGAAGTAAGAATAAAAAGATGAGAAAGGTAAGAGTTCAGATGATGGTAATATTACAGTACTAATTCAGATAATAATTCAGTTACTTTGATTTGTACACATGGTAATTGTAATCATGTTGATGATCTTAACATTAAATGGATAGTTGACACAGGAGTGGCATATCATTGCATTCCTAAGAGAGAGTTGTTTACAACTTACAAAGTAAAAGACTTTGGTTACACCAAGATAAAAAATAAGAGTGTGTAGTAGATTGTTGGGATTAGTGATATTGTTGTACAAATAATACAGACTGCATGTTAACTTTAAGGGATGTCAGATACATTTCAGATATAAGAATAAACTTGCTTGCTATTAATATCCTTGATAATGAAGGATATAAAAATCAACAAAAGAATGAGCAGTAGAAGCTTCTTAAAAGATCTATAATAGTTGCAAGGGAAAAACTATGTTGGACAATATATAAAACATAGATGCAATTGAATGACAACCACATAAATGCCATTGAGGATAATACTTCAACAAACTTGTGGCATAAGAGGCTGCCATATATGAATGAGGGGTTACAGATTTTGGCAAGATAATTTCTCATTCCCTTGACCAAAGGTATATCTCTCGATTCATATGATTATTGTTTGTTTAGCATTGTAGAGTTTTTTTTTCGTAAAAGTTCTTAGAGAAAAGAAAATAGATTGAAATTAATTTATTTTGATGTATGTGATCCCATTGAGATTAAATCATTAGGTGGTAGTAGGTATTTTGTTACTTTTATTGAAGATGCTTCATGAAAGACTTAGGTGTATATATGAAATACAAAAGTTAGGTACTATAATATTTTAAAAAATTTTATGCCAAGATGAAAAGAATGACAGAGTTACCTTTGAAGTGTATTTAGACTAATAATGATAGAGAATACACATCCAAAGACTTTAAAAAGTATTATTCAAAGTATGAGATTAAGCATGAAATGATAGAACCAGGAACATCGCAACATAATAGTGTAACTAAAAGGATGAATTGTATCATTATGAAAAAAGTCAGATGCATATTGAGGATTACAAAATTACCAAAGCTATTCTGAGGTGAAATAGTCAACACAATTTATTATTTGTTTAACAGATCATCATTAGTTTCTTTAAGTTTTGACATTGCAGAAAGAGTGTGGACAAGAAAAGATATTCCATACTCTCATTTAAAAATTTTTAGGTGTAAAATATTCATGCATGTGCCAAAAGAGCAAAGGTCAAAGCTTAATAGTAAAGCCACATAGTTTATGTTTGTGGGATATAGTGATAAAAAATTTGGCTACAAAGTATGGAATCCAGTGAAGAGAAAGGTAGTTAAAAGCAAAGATGTGGTCTTTCATACAAAAAAAAAGCTACAGCAGACTTTAAGAAAAATGAAAAAACTACATTAGTTATTGTTGAGTGTGATGTTTCAACACTAATAGGAGTTCCACAAGAAAAAGTTACAGATGGTGGAAATGAGCAAAAAATAGAATTTGGGGATATAAATGACCCAGCCAAAGTTAATGATAAGCCAAATGCAATAAGTTTTGAGTAAGGGGAACAATTCTTTCTACTTGAAAGTGTTGAGTAAAGGAGCTACCTTTGGCATCAGGTGATGTAAAATCTTAGCTTATGAGATCTACTGGAGAGTGCAGGCCATTTATTAGGTATCCAAGTTTAGATTTTATTTTAGTTACCAGTTAGGGAGAGCCAGAAAGCTTCTAAAATGTGCAGACCACTTCGGATAGAGAGCACTAGTTAAAAATAATGAAAAAAGAGATTGAGTCATTATGAAAAATTGTATGTATGATCTTGTTAAACTTTCAAAAGAGAATAGATCATTGAAAAATAAATTGGTGTTCAAGTTAAAAAAAGATGGTGACAAACTAGTGAGATACAAAGCTCGATTAGTGATAAAATATTTTTCTCAAAAACCATGTATTGATTTTAATGAGATCTTTTCTCGAGTTGTAAAGATGAGTTCCATTCGAGTGGTACTAAGATTAGCAAGTAATTTGAATTTTGAGCTTGAATAACTTAATATCAACACCGAATTCTTGCATGGTGACTTACAGAAGGACATTATATGAATCAGCCTAAGGGTTTTAAAGTAAAAGGGAAAGAGCACTTAGTTTATAAACTAAAGAAAAGCTTGTATGGCTTGAAACAAACTTTATGACAGTGATACAAGAAGTTTGATTCTTTTATAGTGAGCCATAGCTTTAAAAGAATGGCAGCGGATCCTTGTGTGTATGTCAAAAAATTTTTAATAGTAACATTATCATTCTCTTATTTTATGTTAATGATATGTTGATTGTAGGACAAGATGCTGGTATGGTTTGTAGATTGAAAGAATAATTGTCTAAGTTACATAAAAGATTTAGGTCCAGCAAAAGTAAATTCTTGGTATGGACATTATCCGAGATAGGAGAGCTGAAAAGTGATAGTTGTCACAAGAAAAACATGTTGAACGAGTGCTTAGTAGATTCAACATACAACATGATAAATCAGTTAGCAGCCTACTTATCAATCATTTTCATCTGAGTAAGAAATCTTATCCAGTGTCTAAGAAAAAATAACTAGCTATGTCTAGTATTCTTTATTCTTCTGCAGTTGGTTCTTTAATATATCTTATGGTTTGTACACGGCCTGACATTCCTCATGCAGTTGGTGTAATGACCAGATTTCTTTCTAATCCAAGAAAGGTTCACTGGAAAGTAGTAAAATAAATTTTTAGATATTTGAGGGGCACCTAAAAAATATATTTAAGTTATGGAGTTTCACAACCAGTTTTAGAACAGTTTACTAATGTTGACATGATAGGCGATCTTGACAGTAAAAAATTTACTTCAAGGTATTTGTTCACTTTTGCAAGAGAAGCTGTGTCTTGACAGTCTAAGTTACAAAAGTGTGTTGCTTTGTCAACTATAGAGGCTGGATATATTACAGCAATTGAAACAGGTAAAGAAATACTTTGGATGAAACATTTTTTTTCTTGAATTGAGGTTGAATCAGAAAGAGTATGTGGTGTTTTATAATAGCATGAGTGATTTAGATTTGAGTAAGAACGTCATGTACCATGCTATAATAAAGTACATTAATGTTAGATATCACTGGTTATGTTTAGTGATTGAGGAACAACAGATGCTGTTGAAGAAAGTTTATACTGATGAGAATGTAGCAGATATGTTGACTAAGATATTTTCTAAAAAGAAGCTTAAACTTTGCAGTAACTTGATCGGAATGAGTTCTTTGGCCAAGGTAAGTTTCAAATGAAATTGCTATGGTAATAAATCTCCTTCTAATGGGGTTGGAAAGGGATATTGTTAGGAAAATGGGGTCCAGTCCTATGTAATTGTTTTTGGACTAATCAAAGGCTATGGGCCTTTAATTTTTTTTCTACATAGAGTCCTAACTACTTAATAAAAAGAGGTGAGCTTGTTTTAAAGTGGTGTCGCAAACCAAGAAGAGAAAGAAGAAAAGCCAGAAAAATAAAAAAAAAATAAAAAAGAAGAGTTGGTTGAATGGAAGTCGATCCATAATTCGATTGAGCTGAAACTTTGTCAATAGATTTATGATTTAGAGTTTTACATTATGAACGATAAAGATTGGGTTTGAAGCTCTCTAGAAACAAATCTATGGTGTATTTGTTGAGTCACCAATTTGGTGAGATTTCTTCAATTGTTTTTTTAGTTGTTGATTAGCTTTAGTTTTAGTTGGAAAAGAACTTTGTATATCTATTATTTGAAAGTAAAAAATTTTTTGGTGGTCCATGATTTTTCTCCCTACACTAAAGGGTTTTTTAAGTAAATCTTGGTGTACTTTATTTTTTCTGTGTTGTTGATTGCTGATTATTGTCTATTATTGTGGGTTTATTACGTTATATTGCTTCTGCATTGTGTTTATTGCTTCAGGTCCAACACTCTAACTCTAAAAAAGATGAGGAAGAAGAACTCCTATTTTTTTTTTGCTTCACAATGGTAAGTTTTCTTTCATATAATACCTCAATCATTTTTACTTAGTAATTAGTTTCTTAATTAATTAAATAGGCTTTGGTAATAGTCTAGCCTAATTATTATTTTGCTGGGGTATGGCAATAAGTCACTAGTGTGCTTTTCTTCTTGGTCAGTCAATTCAGCCAAATTCTTTGATTATAAATTGATGGGCAGGGGAAAGAAAAAATCACTAAGAGTATCATTTTCTTGTCCTACAAAAATGGCGTCTGAAAGCCTCAGTTCTCCAATCAGCAGTGTAGCCACTGTGTTATGGTGTGCCGGTTTGTTGCTTGTAGGATTGTTTCCAACCGCTATTACTGGAATCACAATCAAGGGACATGAGAGAGATCGCGAAGCATTGCTTGCCATAAAGTCACAAATTAATCATGATCCACTTGGAGTCACAAGCTCATGGAACGACACTGTAGCCTTATGTCAGTGGAAAGGAATAACATGTGGCCGTAGGCATCAGAGGATCACCAAGTTGGACTTAAGCCAGCAACGGTTGCGAGGTACCTTATCTCCCTATGTAGGGAACCTCAGCTTCCTTAGGTTCATCAACCTTCAGGGCAACAATTTCTATGGTGTCATCCCCCCTGAAATTGGTAGACTTTCGAGGGTTGAAAGTTTAATTTTAAAAAACAATTCCTTTGGAGGAACAATACCAGCCAATTTGACCCATTGTTCCAACCTCATTCAGTTTATCGCCACCCAGAACAACCTTGTTGGAAATATCCCTGCCGAGTTTGGTAATTTATTGAAGTTAGAGAAACTAAAAATTGATATCAACTCTCTAACTGGGCAACTCCCAGTTTCATTGGGGAACCTTTCCAGTCTACAGCTGCTTCATGTAGGTAGCAATAGCTTGCAAGGGAGAATTCCTGAAACATTCGGCCAGCTTAAAAGGTTAGTCAATCTTACACTGGACGAGAATAATTTCTTTGGCTTAGTTCCTTCTTCGATTTATAACATCTCTTCTCTAGAGATATTCAGTCTAGTAATTAATCGATTCCATGGGAGCCTCCCTGACGACATAGGCTTCACACTTCCAAAAGTTCAACAAATTTATTTTGGGATTAATAGTTTCTCTGGGACTCTACCAGAGTCATTATCCAATGCTTCAATGTTGGAAATATTTGATGTTTCCAGGAATCATTTCAGTGGCAAAGTGTCCATTAATTTTCAAAACGCCAAAAATCTTTCATGGCTGAATATGGAAAGTAATAATCTGGGAAGTGGTGCTGCTGGGGATTTAGATTTTTTAACAACCTTAACTAATTGTAGGAGATTGCAAGCGTTTAGCATAACTAATAATCAGTTTGGTGGCTTGCTACCAAATTCCATAGCAAACCTTTCGAGAACAATTAGAGTTTTATACCTAGGTGTTAATCAAATAACCGGCACCATACCTTTGGGGATAACAAACCTTACAAATCTAATGGGAATTGGTTTGGAGTACAACCAACTGACTGGCATTATTCCTGATTCCCTTGGTAAGCTTAAAAACCTGCAATCTGTAGCCTTCGGTGGAAATGCTTTAACTGGGAGAATCCCTATCTCTGTAGGCAATCTTTCACTGCTAAACGCGATTAGTTTAGAAGATAACCTCTTAGAGGGTAGCATACCTGCTGGGTTTGAAAAATGTCAAAATTTGATGTTGATGATATTAAAGTCCAACAGCCTAACAGGTCCAGTTCCCAAAGAGATATTTAACATCGTAACACTCTCAGTTGACCTTGATCTATCCAATAACCTTCTAACAGGATCCTTTCCTTCAGAAATAGGAAACTTGAAAACTTTGGTAGAACTGGATATATCTGGAAACAAGTTCTCTGGTCTGATTCCTGCTACTCTAAGTAGTTGTACAAGCTTGGACGCTCTTTATTTGGGGAAGAATCATTTTTATGGAAGTATCCCATCCTCTTTGAGATCCTTGAGAAGCATTGCAAAGCTAGATCTGTCAAACAACAATTTGTCTGGTCAAATTCCTGAGTATCTGGAGAAATTATCCTTCTTGAAATACTTGAATCTCTCTAACAATCACTTCGAAGGACAAGTGCCAACGAAAGGAGTTTTCAGTAATGCAACAGCAATTGCAATTACTGGGAATGATAGGCTTTGTGGGGGAATTGCTGAATTGCATCTGCCAATATGCCACTTCAACGAGCCCAAGAAACAAAAAAGAACTGTTCCACTCAAACTAATCTTGATTGTTTGCGGGGTTCTTGGAATTCTTTTGCTATCGTCACTCCTTTTCTGTTGGCTGAGGAACAGAGGAGTAAAAGCGGAACCTTCATCGGCCACTCGCTTGGGAAATCCAATTTTGATGGTTTCTTTTCAGGAACTCCTCAAAGCTACCGATGGATTCGCTTCAGCCAACTTAATTGGCGAAGGAAGCTTTGGCCGCGTGTACCGAGGAATTTTAGATCAAAACCAGGAGCGAAATGTAATTGCAGTGAAGGTGATGAATCTACTTGAACAAGGTGCTGCCAAGAGCTTCAACAAAGAATGTAAAACATTGAGAAATGTTAGGCATCGTAATCTTGTCAAGATAATATCTGCTTGCTCTAGTATTGATTTTCAAGGCAATACTTTCAAAGCCCTTATCTATGAGTTCATGCCCAATGGAAGTTTAGAAGGATGGTTGCATGCACCAAAAGAAGCAAATGCCATTGAACATGGAGAGCCAAAGATCTTAAACTTTCCTCAAAGACTAAATATTGCAATTGATGTGGCCTCAGCACTTGATTACCTCCATCATCACTGTGAGGTGCCTGTAGTTCATTGTGATTTGAAGCCAAGCAACATTCTGCTTGACCATGACATGGTTGCCCATGTAGGAGACTTTGGACTAGCCAGGTTTTCCCCAAAGTCCATCAACAATTATTGTGGAAATTCTACAAGCACTATTGGTCTAAAGGGAACCGTTGGTTATGCTGCACCAGGTAAATTAATGTATCTACTTCTTATAATAGCAACCCTCGGCCACAATAGGATAGAAGCTGTAATATTAATGCTCTCCATCTTAAAACTGTTAATTCTTTCATAATATTTTGTTTGGCTCCTATTTTTGGCAGAGTATGGCATTGGAACAAGGGCAACAACAAGTGGTGACATGTACAGCTTTGGCATACTACTGCTGGAAATGTTCACAAGGAAGAGACCCACCGATGACATGTTCAAAGATGGTCTAACACTTCATCATTTCGCAAAGATGGCATTGCCCGATCAAGTACTTGAAGTTGTGGATCCATTATTTCCAGCTGGGGATAACGAAGAAGAGAATGCAAATAGCAGTAGAAACCCAAGGAAAACACACATGCAAGAAACCGGAAAGAAAGAGTGCCTGATTTCCATCTTGGGAGTTGGAATTGCCTGTTCCGTTGAATCACCCAAAGATCGCATGGACAGCGTCGATGCAGCCAAGGAACTGCATTCTATCAGGGACAAATTTCTAGGAACCGGAATCCGGACAAAAAGAGAAGTACGTAGTTAGAATGGAGTTTGGTTGTTTTTTGATGTTCTACCCAATAACATTACTACTTGTTTTTCTCAGTAAAACTTCCTGAATTCTAATAATTTTGAAAGTTTTGTCATAAAAACTTGCAATCAAATTGAGAAATTCGAAAACTACAGTAAAATTTTTCTAAACCAAAGACAATTAAAAATATTATTATACTCAATCAAAGCACAACGAAGATTAAAGCGAACGCAACTATTTGATTTTATTTGTTCAAATCAAATAAAATCACACTGCTATCAAATGCTTTAAATCATAGTCTAAACAAGCAGTCAATTCTCAATGAAGATGAGTACTAGCAAATCAGGCCTATCATAAAAAAAAAAAATTACAGGGAAAATTTTTTATGTATGAGCTATGGCAAGGATTATAATGTTTACTTCTATATTTATTTTTGGAAGTCTAATTATTTATAATTATTTTTAAAAACCTAAAAAACTTAACTATTAATAAATATATTTATTTTTCAAAATATAATAATAAATAAAGTTTATATTTAATTTATTGATAATCTATAAAATTTATACATTAATAATGTGACAAATATAGATCTTTATGTGCACTGTGTGCTAAAACGTGTCAAAAGTAGAAGGTTTTGCTTTCAATTTCCTTTCTTCTCTTTCTTTGGCCACTATCATCACGCAGCTCTAAAAGTTCTGTCCTATTCATTTCTCAACAAGAGCACAATATATGATCATTTATTCTTTTTTCTCAATCATTCTTTCATTTTTTTTCCCCTTATTCTCCTTACCTTTCCTTTCTTTCTCAACGCACAACTTATTTTTCTAGCCTTTAGGACAAACAAATAATTAATTAGGTTTTAGTTGGTAGGAGAAAGAAAATGAATCTTATAATTGGTAAGAGATAGAAAAAATGTTATAGAAAAGAAATTCTGAATGATTAATTATCAATATCATAAGTCAATCTTAGTCCATCAAACATGTACTGAAGTGACAAAAAAACATGTTATTGAAAACCAAATTTATATTAAAAATCGAAAGTTAAAATTAAAAGAAAAAAAAATAAGAGAAAAGAAAATGTGAGTAGTTGTCATTTGTTATCCACACAACTAAAATCAATCCTTTCAAAATTAAAATGATTTCATTTCTTATTCTTTTCAGTTTCGAGGTGTACCGGCTGTTTTACCTTTGTGGGAGATTTTGACTCCACCACGGCTGGCGTTGGTCATGGACTCATGGTCATGCACGCAATTTAGCTTGACCAGGAATTGCGAAGAAGAGACTATAAATGATAGTGGAGGACTTGCTGTGCTTAATTTCTCCTTTGGGTAAGCCTCACGTTTACGTTTTGCACATTTTTTATTACCCAAAAAATTCAGAAGTCCACACTAACATTAACACTAATTGAGCAAGCACGGCAAAATTTATTTTATGTTTTTATATATTAAATATTAATTATATTTTTTGAAAGAAGAAATCCAAAATCAATGAGATAAGATATGCATGAATAGTTTATATTTAATGCATATTAAATATTATATATTATTAATAAATCATATAAGATCATTATTTTTAAAATTACAATCATAATTAAATATCATATCTATATAATCAATTATTATATAGTAAGTAAATTATAATTATTAAATGATCAATTAATAAATCATAACATAATTAAATAATCAAATCCACAAATAGTGAGACTTGAATTAAAACCTTAAGTTCTAAAGTTTTCTCCTTGCCGTGCCACACACGATAATTAAGCACATAATTAAGTTGAAAAATGGTCAAAATCCTGCTCTTCCTATGGGATTGTCCAGAAAGACATTTTTACATACTTGTGGTGATGAATGTTCCTGGAAAATGCTCAGGGTGCTAGGTTGGGACGACCGATGGGCCAGGAGTTACAAGCACCTTGACTAAAATTGGTAGCTGGACATCACTGCCAAGTTTATTGCGCATGCCTCGGGGTCAAAAAGTCACTAGTCTACTTTTCTTCTTGGTCAATCGATTCAACCAAATTCTTTGATTACAAATTTATGGGCAAAGGAAAGAACTAAAAAATACAAAAATTCTTAAAAAATACAAAAATTCTAAAAAATACAAAAATTATTTTTTATGTAACAAACAAAATCTTAATTAAGTTTTGGTTGGTAGGAAAAAGAAAAAGAAACTTATATTTGGTAAGAGAGAGAAAAAATATTACAAAAATTTTTTTAAATGATTAATTATTAATGTCTTAAGTGAATCTTAGTCCATCAAACATGTAATGAAGTGACCAAAAGACATGTTATTGAAGTGGTAGACAAGTTGCCGAACAAGTCCAAGTCCATTACTCAGTTTCACATTAGCCTGACTTAGGTCAAAGTTTGGTGATTGACAGATTGGAACAAGGTTCCTTAGACTGCTTCACCATCTTCGCGTCAATGATCAACAAAATATACAAGTCAATACTCGGTCAACAAACTTATTTTCCATGGATCTTTTAGATTTTTTTTGAACGATTGAGATTTTTAAGCTTCACATTTTTTAGTAGATTTATTTATATCAAATTTAATAAATTTATAAAAAAAATTAAAATAATATAATGTAATAACTATGTTATCTTTTATTAGCTTATCCAAAAAAATTATGTTATCTTGTAGATTTTATTCGAGGGAAATTTTTTTAATATAATATAATAGTTAAGTTTCATAATATTTATTTACTTGGTAAGTTTATTGAATTAAAACAAAAATTATGCTTCTCTTTTTTTTTTAACCAAATATAATCTTAACTGAGTTTTGATATAAAATTTTAATTAGTAAGACCAATAAATTTATTGCTCTCATGTGAACCTTAGGAGAAAGAAAAATAAGTCATCTAAAGATTTTTTTTAAAGTCAATAATCCAAGTCCAAGTAGTTTATTAAGATTTAATCAACTTCAAAAAAATATAGTAATTATTCATCCAATAAAAAACAAAAAAATTAACATAATTCAACTTTATAAATTCAAGTTTATTGAAGAGGATGACGCAACAATATTTCACTATAATAAGAAAAGATGAAAATTACAAGAATTAATCACTCAATAGTTTTTTTTTATACAAAATAGATCATAATTTAAGAATACGAAAAAAAAAAGAAACAAATATTAAGATTTAAATCTTAAATATATTGAATATCATATTTTAAAATGATTATAACTAACTAAATTAAATTTCAATCTATATAAACAACATATTTGAACTAAGTAACTCCTGTTTTGTTGTATATGAACTTAGAATTTTCTGTCTTTTCTCTTCCATTGGACAATAATAGCAAAGCCAAAATCTCGACAACAAGGACAAGTCAGGTTGTTTGGCAATTTCGTTTGGGCCCCTGTGGCTTTCCAAGCACAGAAGGTTCCATCCAAAACAGGAGAACGAAACCAATTATTTCACCTAAATATGAAAGCAGGTTTGACAATTAAATCTTCAAGTCCATTAACAGTACGTAACTTGAAACAATTGGTCCATGAATCATTTCTAAGACCACTTTTAAGCAATTCTCAAGCTCCTACCATCAGTGCTTGCATTCATACCAGTGGCTATTGCAGAAAATATGTTGTAGGTGTTCCCGACCATGGCTAAACTCTAACTAAAGAGGTGCACCGGTTTAACCTTTGTTAAAGAGGTGGAGGCGGGGACTCGGGAGCTAGTGGGAGATTTTGACTCCACCAGGGCTGACGCCGGTCGTGGACTCATGGTCATGCACGCAATTTAGCTTGACCAGGACTTGTGAAGAGGAGATTAATGATAGTGGAGGACTTGCTGTGCTTAATTTCCCCTTTAGGTAAGCCTCACTTTTGCGCTTTGCACGTTCTTGAGGACCCAAAAAATTCAGAAGTCCACACTGGCAGAAACACTAATTAAGCAAGCATCAAAGAACATTTTTTTTTTGAAGTTATAATCATAATCAAGTATTACATTCATATAATCAATTGAATAATCAAATATCACATTCATATGATCACTGAATAATCAATTAACAAATTTAAATATACTAAAACAATCACACTACAAACAGTGAGATTTGAACTACAATATCAAGTTCTAAAGCTTTTTCTTTGACATTAAGCCAATACCTTACAAGATAATTAAATACATAATTAAGTCCAAAAATTATCAAAATCCTGCTCTTCCTATTGGATTGCCCAGAATGACATTTTTCATACTACTGATGTTGAATGTTCTTGGAAAATGCTCAGGGTGCTAGGATGCGACGACCGATGGGCCAGGAGTTGCAAGCAGTTTGACTAAAATTGGTAGTTGGTGACATCACTCTCAAGTGTATTGCGCGTGGCTCGTGGTTAAAAAGTCACTAGTCTGCTTTTCTTCTTGGTCAGTCAATTCAGCCAAATTCTTTGATTATAAATTGATGGGCAGGGGAAAGAAAAAATCACTAAGAGTATCATTTTCTTGTCCTACAAAAATGGCGTCTGAAAGCCTCAGTTCTCCAATCAGCAGTGTAGCCACTGTGTTATGGTGTGCCGGTTTGTTGCTTGTAGGATTGTTTCCAACCGCTATTACTGGAATCACAATCAAGGG